ATGACCCGTACAATCTCGATTTGCATATTGTCAATCAAAGGTCCTGTTGTTTGGTTACTCATGCAAATTAGGCAATTGGACATAAACATTGCCATGTGCGAGTGTTTTTTATTTTAACCAGGAAATAAACAGCAATTTAACGGTGTTCCAATAAGAATTCATTGGTCAAATTTTCACAGAATGTTCTTTAGATACAAATCTATATAAAAAACGAAAAAAACTATTTTTGATTGAAATTCACAAATAAACTGCATCTCTACCTTAAGGGTTCATTTTAGACAGTGGTTGAATCAAGGGTTCATTACACTGCCCATGTTGGATATCTGTTACAGCAATCAGGAATTTCACCAATATTTGATAGCAGGCCATCATTATGTAACAGGCCAAAAAAAAAAATTTTAAACTTATCGGCAGTGCAAAGCGCTGCAGCAAGACCGGCGTAGTCGGGCAGGGGTAACCCCTGAGCAATAATTGTTGTTCGATGCATACATGTACATCAACAAATATAAGTCAAAATAGACCTACTGCATTAAATTGAGGCACTGAAGGAAGTTTGTTACTGTTATCAGTATGCTTTGCATATTTTAAATCCAAAACCTGAATGGAGTGTGGTAGAGAACACCATAATACCGCACACATTAATCTACATCAAGACTTGCAGAAAACCAGAAATATTGCATGATTTTTACTGAGGAATTTTATGAAGGAACACATTAGAGTGATACTATAGTAGAGCAATGACATTGTTCAAACATTCATCCCAACAGAGGTAGAATGACCAAAAGTTTCACTGTCAAGACAAAGCTTAGAAGCCCACTAAAACTGTTAATCCATCGTTCTGATTATCATACTTATTATTACTTATTATTAATTATTAATTGAATGAATTTTAAAATTGAGGCATGGCAATCTTTCAGGAACTCTCAACTGAACACATGGGCTCACAAAATCTGTAAGTTTAACAAGCAGCCTATAGGCTGAGATAGCTCCGCTGTTAGCAGTGCACATTTCAATTAAAGAACTGAAGACATCATTAGAAAATGAACAATATGTATAGTATCAAAGCAATCGGACTTACAGTTTTTAACAAGAAGTCGAAAATATCACTTTTTACCAAAAATAACAAAAATATTCACCAAAATTAGAGAATTGAAGATACCATCACAAAATGAACAAATCTGAGAGAGGTCCACATGTAGTACCTATATATGTAATATCAAAGCAATCAGACTTGTGGTTTTTAACAAGAAGTCGAAAATATCACTTTTTACCAAAAATTACAAAAATATTCACCAAAATTAGAGAATTGAAGATATCATCACGAAATGAACACATCTGAGAGAGGTTCACATGTAGTACCTATATATGTAGTATCAAAGCAATTGGACTTGCGGTTTTTAACAAGAAGTTGAAAATATCACTTTTTACCAAAAATGATAAAAATATTCACCAAAATTAGAGAATTAAAGATATCATTACAAAATGAACAAATCTGAGTGAGGTCCACATGTAGTACCTATATATGTAATATCAAAGCAACTGCACTTGCGGTTTTTAACAAGAAGTCGAAAATATCACTTTTTACCAAAAATGACAAAAATATTCACCAAAATTAGAGAATTGAAGATATCAACATGAAATGAACAAACCTAAGAGAGGTCTGCCCAAGGTACATATACACCAAGTATCAAAGCATTCAGGCTTGTAGTTTTCAAGAAGAAGTCAAAAAAGTAAAACATTGACACGGACGACGACGACGGACGACGACGACGGACAATCACTCATATGATAAGCTCCGCTCGACAAAGTCGACAGCGGAGCTAAAAAGCTCAAGAGCAATGATTGAATTTTGTGGTTTGTATTATAAAACCCTCAATTTCTAATTCAATGGTTTTATGAACTAGTATAATTTTGGTAGGTTCGCTACTACTAGTTACAAACAAACCCAGTGCTGCGCTATGCACTTCCCTGAGACTCTGTCGTATGTCAAAGGAAGCCCCAGTTTGTATCAGCACTCCTCTTGATTTTGTCTTATGTCAACTCAATGTTTACTTTCAAATCACATTATATATATATATTACAAAATAGTTAATAAACTTGAACACAGTGGTGTGGTACAGTGACTAATTTCTATGAATCATGACTATAGAGAAACACATTGCAAAATGTCTACAAG